GTTTGGAAGGAAGAATTGGGTGAAGGTGGTCAAAAAGTACAAACTTCTAGTTATAAATGAGTCTTGGGGTTGTAATGTTCAGCATAGTGACTAGAGTTCATAATCACAGAATATACATTGGAAAGTAGCTAAGAGCAGATCTTAAAACTTCTCATTACAAGTAGAAAAAGTTTGTAACTGCAGTGATGGATATTAACTATACTTACTGTGCTGACCATTTCACGGTATATACAAATACTCATGTTGTACACTTGAAGCTTATACAATGTTATATGATAATTATATCTCAATAAAACTGGGGAAGGAGGAGGAGGACAGGAAAACGAGGTCAGGTGGCTGGCCTATGAGGGTGTCGGGAACCCCAGTGGTGCTGGGGCTCCCTCCAGCACTAACTGCTGGGGGCTCTGGGTGCCTCTCGGTCCTTCTCTTCATCTGGAATCTCCAGACCTCACCTGTGCTGCTGCCTGTCCGGGGAGGCGGGGAGGCTGCTCAGGTCTGGCTGGCCTGTTATGACCAGGCAACAGAGGGGACTGAAGGGTCGGGTCCGGTTGGATGACCCTGACCCTCACGGTGCACTTCCCTCAGAGGTCAGAGGGCTCTGGCGGAAATGGCCTCCTTTCCAATGGACTGAAGTTGGGTTTACTAGGTGGGGCTATTTTAAATTGTCATGGCCACTTAAATGTTCCATTCTGTGGGAAAAAGCAAAAATATCCATCCAAGTTCATGACAATGTCAGGAACATGGTTAATGAACAAACACTGTGAACAACCATCTGTGGCCCGGGGTTAGAAACTTGAGGATCATTCTAGACCTTTCCCTCCTCATTCCTGTAATTTTTTAGCCTGCCTTCCTGCCAGGGGCTTTCCTGAGCAAAGTCCTGGAATTTTCCCAGCAACCTATGAATGTTCCCATTCTGCAGACAAGGGTGCTGAGGCTGAGACGGGCCACACCCTGGTCTGGCTTAGGGATCCATGCTGTTGGCCACCCCTTCGCTGTCTCAGTTCACCAGAACCTGTTCGCCTGTCTCACCTCCCCTGTCCAGCCTGTCTAGTCATTGCATTGCTACTGCGCAGACACTCAGCATCTCTTACCTGGGCAGTTGACACCATCTTGGGTACAAGCCAGGTGCAGCCTTGCCCTCAGGGGGGCATCCAGGGCCCTCAACCTCAAGGCCTCCCCTTCCCAACCCTACCCCTGCCTGGGATTGATCACACCCTCATCTCAAGATATCACCTCCCAGGCAGGTTGGGCTTCTGGCTGGGTTCCTGACACTTCTCTTGTGCCATTTGGAAACTTCAACATCACTAGTCAGTATTGTGGGTATAACGGCCTTGCTTGGCATGTCTGTGTCCCCTGCTCCCAGAGGGACGGGGGCCCTGTCATGGTGAAATGTGGCAATAACAGGTAATCTGTGTTGGGGGCCTTGTAACCAGACCTCTTAAACTAGAATCACACTGACTTGCTGGGCAACCTTGGGTAAATCACTTAACTTTCTGTGTGTCATACCTCATGTAAATTGTATCCGTCACATACAGTGGTCACAAGGATTAAGAGGTAAAGCACTTCCAGTAGCCCCAGACATCCAGTGTCATTGGCAAGTCTTCTCCCTCCATGTCCTGGTGTCTGCATCCTGCGGCTCTTGTGACCATGTGTTAGGTGAAGAAAGCCCTGGAAGCTGGGCATCCTGCATTTATCAAATCTCTCAAGGTACCATCCATAGAGTTTAGAAGTGACTGTCCCCACATTAACAGTGAGTGAAGAAAGAGGCCACCGGAGGGGCCCCAGCATCTGCCTCCAGCACCCCAGCTTTTAGAGATGGCCATAACCCGGGACGTTGGAGATACGACAAAGACCTTTGAATCACGCAGAGAATGGGGGAAATCGCTGTAATCTGTTTTCCCAAACTGTGTTATTTTTAAATGTCTTGGGTGGGTGCCCATGTGTGCAGGGACACTTGGCTGGGCCAGAAGCACTTTGTCGCCTGAAAGGCCCCATTGTGACCCCAAACTGGCCCGAGTGATTCCCGGAACAACAGGCCCTTGTGCAGCCCCAAAGGCTGCTCACTCAGCCCATGGCTGGCAGTGCGAGTGTTTTGCTGTCTGTAAGGTCAGCGCAGGGAGGCTATGGGTTTCTGGTAAGGGGTTCTCTACAGTTCTAGTCTAGAATGCCAATGAGGCCCAGCTCCTGTCAATTGTGTCCTCTCCAGGGGAAGAGCAGATCTTGTGGGGACCAATGCAAGCAGAACAGAGGATCAGGGGCCTGTCTTAGAGGACTGAATGCAGGTGAAGCCTCTCCCAGGCCATCCTGCCCTGCTCAGGGAGGGCTCCCAGGAGGTCCCTCCAGAGCCCCCTGGAATCCTAGGCCACAGCCACTGAAGCCACAGGCAAGAACCTCCACCACACCTGGCTGGATTTGATCCACAGCTGTCTTGGCTCTGCCTCCCGTGACGTGCATCCTCACCACACACTTGTGGTGACTGTGGTTGGTTCTGCTTGAGAGCTTTGGCTCTGGATCACATTGCAGACATCAGCTTCTTATTCACCTTTACAAAGCTGAACTGGGTGGGCCTTTGGCTTTGTGGGGACTGCAAAGTAGAACTGACTGGTTGCTTGAACGTAACTGAACATTGTTGTGACTTTACAGCTCAGAGCAACCAGTCCCTTTTCAGTGAGACAACAGTCCAGGACCTGAACCCAACATGTGGCCTCCTGCCAACACTTAGTGGTCAAGGGTTGTCCCTCTGAAAGCCCCTGCCCACCTGTATCAGGTACACTGTAAGGTCTCATCTCCCTATCACTTCCCAATGGGCTGGAAAACAGATCCACATGGTGACGGGTCTGGGCCTTGGAGGGCGGTAGGTGAGCACAGGACTCCAGGGACAGAAAGAGCAGGCACTTAGTGCAGCTCCTATTCTCTGTTCATTCTCACCAGCTGAGTGAATCTGTTTCCTGTAAAGCAAAAGTAGTGGTCATCTCCTGTGGCCAGAGAGGATGACAGGACTCTATAGGCATATAAGGTGCATATGCATATAAGTACCTGGCCCAAGGCCAGAGCTCCAAAGATGACAGCAAGATGGGTTACACAGGTGCAGATGTGGGTCTCTTGGGCAGTCAGGTGTAGGTATTCATGCTACCTGCCCTTTGGTCCAAGTCAGGGCCACCAAGCAGACAACATATAAGGAATGCCCAACCTGCCCTGGGGGTAGCATCAAGATATGCCCCAAAGGAGGTTCCCTCCTCCCCAAAATGCAGAGGCAGAGAGAGGCATGCTGGCCACAAGAAGACACCATCCCACATCTTGAGGGACCAATGGTAGGTGCTCAGACAATGCTCATTCTTTTCAGAGGCCTGCCCATCAACCAGTATTTGGACCTATAAACACTTCAAAATAGCTGGATGCAAAGGAGCTGACTAATGAGGTGCATGGGGCAAATCAAGGCCAGGAGAGGGCAATTGTGAGGCTGCTCGTCCCATTAGCATCCATTGCACATCAGATGCCAAATGAAACGATTGTAAAGTTGACTTGTAATGGGAGGAAAGAAAAGTCGCCATGGGAGGATCCCTTGCAGAGCCTTGGGCTAATTAAGGGTTCTGCAATTGGACCCATTTGCAACTGAAAGAGAAAACAGATCATATCAAAGTTTCTTCAAAGAGAAGGATTTAAATTTTGAAACCCTTGAGAAATTCAACTAACCCTTCCACTTTTCTTGATGGGGGTCAAAAATGAGGCTCTGTTAGCATCATGGTGCCGGCTCACTGGCAGTTTTGTTCAAAAAGACTTCCCTCAATCATCTGATTGCAAATATGTTAAACATGTGACAAACTTCCTCTCATTTCTTAATTTGGACTTTAATTTTTCAGGATAAAGCATCAATCAAACCTTTGCTCCTAAGTTCCTTTGAAGATTTTACTTACATTTTGTGTTAAGTGGACTCACTTAAAAGTACCCCTTTTCTGGTACCACTACTCTGGGATAACAAAAAACAACCCGAAGATACCACTGAGACCCAATTCAGTCATGTGGTCCCTGAGCTGGAAGGGAAGTAAAGTGTCTACTGGTCAAACCTATGCCTGAGGCTTCAGTCTTCGCCCTGTGTGGCTGCTAGCAAGAGATGATCTGCCTGTACACCGCAGTGGCCTAGAGCTGACTGGTGTTTTGGGCACCTGTTCTGGTGTCCCAGGTGTCAGTTACTAGTAACTTCCTTGGGTGATGGGACAAAGAAGCACTGATAATGATAGCTGGGTTTTCATGAGTCCTGAGTACCCTCCTTCTTAACTGTCCAGTCCTTTCAACCAAGATGTCTCATACCCACACTACCTGTCACACTTTGTAGACTGGTCCCGGTTCTCTCCTATGAAGGGGCCCAAGAAAGTTCTCATTTACTATCCACATGCCTAACTGCAGCAGACCTCAGAGCACACTGCCCAGAGCATTTCTGACACACAGAATGAGAAGAAGCTTCTGCACCTTGTTTCATTGGCTTAAACATTTCCGAACTGAGCACAGACCCCTCTGTCTTGTAGGAAAAAGAATGGGGCCCTCAGGCTGGTACCGGGAGACTTTCCAGAAAGGTGAAACTCTGCCAGGGAGGGTGGGATGCCCAGTGCAGTGGCCAAGCACATACAGCTGTCACCTGAACTGCCATTTGATGCTGCCTCTAGAGTCACATCACTCTGAGCCAAGGATTTCTCAAAAAGAAAGCTGACATGATGGCATTCCTGATAGAAAAAACACCCCACAAAAGTAATAAACATAAAGGCACTTTATGAAGTGTCTCAAAGTTTTATCATCTTCCACCGTGGACATCTGCAAATATTTGTTGGGTGAGTTTTACTCCCCCTGATGGGTAGAATCTCCATGAAGACTTAGAAACATGCCAGGAGATGGGTGCTCAGAGAGCCTGAGAAAAATTCCAAGAGAGTTCTCAAGATCCATCAAGAGGTCAGCAGTGCATCTTTGTTTCATGGTCTCAGATCAGAGCCCCCATTTCCCACCCCACCATGACCCCCCCAAAAAAAAACAGGAAATAACCCGAGAAAGACAGCTGTCATTGGAGGTTAAAAGTAGCTGGCCCTGAGCCCTGACATGAAGGTCTATGGGACAGTTAACATAACACCCACAAGAAAAAGAACATTGCCTTTGTTTTGGTTTGTTTTCTTTTTTCCTCCATGGAGAGCATGCCTGTATTCTAAAAAGTTATGCTGGAAGGCGGGCTGATCAATTAACACCGTCTGGATGTTCAGCTAAAGTTTTTCCTCCTCTGCTTTATGAAGACTTCCATCGGATTAAAGAAAACACGGCGTGGACCACGTACAGCAGAGTGGCTACGTATGAAAACACCTGAAACCAAGATAAATGACCATTAATGGGTATACACGGGGACAGGGCAAGGCACGGGATGGCTGCTCTCATGGTGCTCATTCAGGATGACAGACCTGCTGGGTGTGGCCAGTATCTGCTTCGCACCACCCATGTTATACCCTTCCTTGCTGAGCCCAGTTATGGCCCCAGAATGGTGTTGACACAGAGCTCCAGCTGACCGGACAATCCACTGGACTTGGTGTGCAAGGCCAACTTTCTGCTTTTTCACATGACTGTGGGTGCCACCCAACCGGAAACGGGCATCTCAGAAGCAGAAGAGTATCAACCACCTTGCATGGAAAACTTCCCTCCTCCACACCAATAAGACCAGAGTTCCACCAGCTGTGACCCCAGCAGCCTCTGCTAAGAGAATATGTCCATGTGGATTTGCTGGCTCTGGTAAAGGTCTTGATGCTGCCTGGACATCCTCAGACCCCATCAGAATTTTATTCTACAACTCTTAATATCACAGGCCTGGGTAAGGAGGCCAGGCTCACAGGAAGAGAGGGGCAGGGACACAGAAGAGGGATTTTCTTCAACTTTTGCACAAACGGAGGTGGCTTACTGAGAAAGCTGCTGGGAAGATCCCAGTTAGCTGCTTTGGTGCTGAGGATGAAGGCCCTGGAAATGGGGCAACTGGTCACTTGTTGGCTGTCACAGCCCTGACTTGCTGTATTCACAGGGCACCGTTTACGCCTATTACCCTACTATGGTGGCTGGCCTCCCTAGAGGGAGGCTGCCTGCCTCCAAGTCAACTATCTGCACCTGCTTTTGTGACCTTAGGCTCAGGGTCAAGAGTTTCGAAGCCAGGCACAGCATTTAGGGTGGCCATGCTTCCTTGACTTTGGAAAATGCCCGTAAACAGCGGTGGCACCGTGCTGCTCTGTTTCCCACTCCACACATGGGTGAACCCTTCAGCCTCATTGGCCAGAAGAGATGAGTAAGCCAAGTTACTTAACAACAAATGTAAGGGAACTCATCCGGAGACTCTTAAGTACCCGGTCTGGAAGGAACAGTCATACATGTGTGAGTAGCCCCCTAGAAGTAATCCCCCCTCCCATCAGCAGGGAGCAGTTTACCATCTGGGCAATTCCAGACACATGAAAATCATTGGTGGAAGCACCTCAGAAGTCCTGTTGGAAAGGAAACAGACGTGTTTCCCAAGTGAGACTGAGAAATGAGCCCTGGCTGGTGTGGCTCAATGGATTGAGTACCGGCCTGCGAACCAAAGGGTTGCTGGCTTGATTCCTAGTCAGAGTAATGCCTGGGTTGCAGGCCAGGTCCCCAGTAGAAGGTGCATGAGAGGCAATCATACACTGATATTTTTCTCCCTCCCTCCTCCTCTCTCCAAAAATAAATAAATAAATAAAACCTTTAAAAAAATAAAAAGAAATGGCACATCAAGGACACTGAGAGCCAGGGACATGAAGCAACATTCTTAGGCTTTCAGAAACCCCTCTCTAAACAGCTGCCATTAGCGCCAACCATGGACCCAGAAACCTCCAGATTTCTGCTCCTGCTTTTAGTCAGCTCCAATAATCCCAAGAGCCCAAATGCCAGGGGTGTGGGAGAAGGTATATGAGATGCCTCCCCACAACCCCAGACTGGCCGCCTCCTGACCATCTGAAAGGCAGGTTCTGTTTGGTTAACGTCTGAGGCTAAATCCTGAGTAATCGTGACCCTTTCTGCACTGTGCATCGATATCACTAATGCTACTGGTAGAAAAAAACATGATTTTACTTGGAAACGGGCTCATATTTCTGTAGTGGTTTTAGCCCAGTGTTTCTGCCTGCAGAGGACATTTCCATCCTGATTCTGGCACAGCTTAACTTTGCCTGGGGACATTCGTGGTTCTCCAGATTATCAAAAATGTAGGGACGTGTGATCAGTCATGGAATGGACTAATATGTGTTGGTGTGGTCTTCCATGGAAACCTATGCAGCAAAAAGAATGAACACTGTACATCTCACCCAACCATATGGGTGCACCTCAGAAGCCTGAGGTCGAGAGAAAAAAGCCAGATACAGAACACACATAGCATGACTCCACTTACACGGAGTTCAAAAGCAGGTAGAATTGAACTGGGCAACCAGAAGTCAGGGTGGGAGTTAGCCTTGGTGTGGGTGCGCGGTGATGGCAGCAGGACACGAAGGGACTCTGGGAGCTATTTCTTCTTTTCTATTTCATGATCAGGATGCTGGTTATATAGAGGAGTTTACTTTATGTAAATTCATCAAGCTGTACACTTGCATCCTGATCACGTCTCTGGATATAAGTTACATCTTGATAAAAAGTAAAAGAGAAGAGTCGGAACACAGTAGAGCCCATTGCTTCTCAACTAGAGACCCCTCCAGAGAGTAGGGGCATGAATTCACACCATCTGGGTTGGGTCGTCAAGTGCTGACCCACTAGACACATTCCATCTACATTTCACAACCATTGTCCACAGTATTTTATAGAAATGATTGTCAAATGCCTTGCTGATGTTTGCTTGGAGAGAAGACTTCTGGGTTGGGATGGGGGAGGCATGAGGCTTTCTAGGTGAGGGGGAGACCACACAGAGTCATTTGAAGGATGACCAACCTCCCAAGGGAAGGAAGGCTAACCAAGGTGCTATCCAGTTGTGCTACCACTTAAAAACCAGCCTTCTAGGGGAATGACCCGATATGGGAGCCATTCTGTCTTGTGGAACATTGAAGGGTACCAGGTGGCCGGGTTTATGAAGCTGGGAAGTAGGCTGGGAGCTTAAGGGGAGCATGTGTCTTCCCAGGTTGGGGGATGGGCCCATAGGGACCAGTGGACAAAACTTTGAGGAACTTTCCTCCAGACCCTTGGCTCTGGGAACAGGAAGAGTACCCCTACCAACTCCCTTCCCAGGGCCCAACACCATCCATCCTTGTGGGTTTCCTCTCAGCCTCTACTCCACCCATTCACAGCAGGAGGAACAGCAGAGCTTCAGTGTCTGGAACTGCCTATCATCACATTTGCGTAATTCATAGGTCAACCTCTGTAAATCTAAGGAGTGCTATTTCTGAAACATTTTCTTATTTCTTAAACATCTACAGTTAGAAATACATTGACATTGTGCGTTAGTGCCCCAGAACAAGCTCATACACGCATGACTCTATGAAAAGCTTTGTGAAACGATCTATTCTCAAACTCCCTGTCATTCTGATCCTTTCTACTAAAAGAAAATCCAGGTCCTGACCTTTCAGGCCACAGTGGGTCTGGCTCCACCATTGGAGAGCATCAGTTTCAGAGCTCAGAGACCTGGCCCCTGTCACACACAAGTTGGCACCCCCACTTGTTCTGCTGATTGACTGAATGAGGTACAAGCCCCTGTTGCACCCACTGCTCAATGGGAGGCCTCAAAGGAAGTCGTTCACTACCTCTGTGTTCCTCAAGGAAGCTGGACAGGAAACACACCCATTTTACAGATGAGCAAGTCAAGGCTAAGAGTACAAGGAACCAGTGGAGATGCAACTCCGGTCCCTCCTCCTCCCACAGGTCCTCAACTGTCAGGCAGTAGACAGCATCATGGCCTCTGAAGCAGCAAATACCCACAGCTGGGGGTCCAGACCAGGGCCTGGCGAGACTCTGGCTACTCAATGTTCCATCCTGGACTCAGTGCTCTCCAAGGCTGACTGTGCCTTGATGGCAGATGGACCACTCAGTGAGAGCCAGGAGGCTTAAGTAGCCAGATTCACTGCTCCAACCGGAGTGGGGGTGACACAGCACCCAGCCTGGACACCAGGCCCCACCAGTTCTGAGATTTTGGAGCAAGCTGTGCACGCTCTTGGTGCCCTGGTTCTCCATCTGTGAAATGAGTGTAAGAATAGTGCGTACATCCTAGAGCTGCTGTGAGGGTTAAGTGAGATTATTCACGGAGCTCAGACAGTGCCAGCACCCAACAGTCCTCCCTCCTCACACACCTGCCCTCTGCAAAGCCCCCCAGGCACAGAGCCCTGGGCCAGCCCAGGCCTGAGCAGCATGACACGGACTGATGGCTGGGGAAGTCTTGGGCATGTAACTTTTCTTCTTTGGGGCTTTGCTTCTTCAGAAATGAGGGGAAGGTTTACTTCATTAAAAAGTTAGTGAACTGAAAAAACAGAAAGAGGGCCTGGGCATCCTTCAGCTCAGACCCTGTGAGCGGGCAGTGGGTGCTAAGACGGACGGCTGACGGGGACTCACCACAGCAGAGATGTTTTCGTGGTACTGCTTGTAGGTGAAGCCGTCGTACATGTAGATGGTGGCCAGAGCTTCCAGGACAGAGGCGCTGAGGTAAAACAGGGCGGCGGTGCAGTGGTAGGCTGCATCCTGCAGGGGCAGAAAGGGTGTCAGAGAAATGGGGGGCCCAGACACGGACAGGAGGGCAGCTGTGGTCCAGCAGGGCCTGTCCACACCCCGGCCCCACCTGGCATGGCTTCGGTCCCTTTGTCCCCCCTTATCCACCCATCACCATCCTCACAGAGTGTCTAATCAGCACTTCTGGGGGTTTTTTTCCTCACTGGTTTGAGGGTCAGAGAAAACACTTTGATGAGGAAGAGATGCTGCTTTCCCTTGAGATGGAATCAAGAAAGAGGTGGGGGCAGGAACAGCTTAGGATTTAACAGGTAGAAATTGGTTCTGGACCTGAGGACGGTCACACATGGTCACAGTCCCAGTTAGGATGTGATGTTGGTGGCCAGCACAGGGCAAGAGAGGCCCGGGCCATTTCTATTATTGTTTTGTCTTATTTTGTTGTTCGATTTTTTTTTGTGTGGGGGGGAAGGGGGCAGTCCAGTTCTGTTTAAAAGCAAATAAGGAGTTTTGAGAAGTTGGAATTTGAAAGTGATCTCAAAGTCTCAGTAGGAGGCTTTTTGAGGGAAGAGGCCCAGCCAAACCTGTCCTCCATTCCAGGGCAGATAATGGCAGGTGTCCCATGTGTAAGTTTTACCCTCTTCATGGGCCTCAAGGCAGAATTTATGCAGATAGAGACCAAAGGTCATCCCTTGCCCCCTCCAAGTTCCTCTCTGGTTACCCTGCTTTAGAAGGTGTAACTGGGAGCTGAGCAGTAAGCATGGCCCCTGCTGGGCAGCCAAGGCCAACACCCAGGACAAGATGGAAACCATCCTTCCTGGAGGACAGGAGGTGCCTCTATAGGCACTTGGCAGGTGCAGGCAGTATGGGCAGGGGGTTGAGCTGCTGCTTATCTGTGAAGAAGGTAGTCATGCAAGAGAAAGCAGAGTGGGCCCAGCAAGAGTCAGGCAGTGCCCGTTAGCCTTTGCCTCCTCTTGACCTCCAGGCCACAGGGAGCCCTGGGTGCTTAGACAGCTCAGCGCTGAAGGCCTGGCCGGCTTGATCTTGGAACATGGGTGGGAGACGTCTACGGGGCAGCCTTGCCCAGCATGGGAAAAGCCAGCCTCCCAGGGAAGAGGATCCAATACTGCCCACCCCCTCAGACATCTCAAGCTGGGACTCACCAGGGAAACCCAGGAGGCCTCTCCGCTGTGGGCACCAATCATGTACAGGACGAGCAGGGTTGTGGTGGCCACGAAGCAGAACACAGACACGAACATCACCCATCCCTGTATCAATGGTATGGGCACCAGCGACGAGGCGATCAGGATCCACACCAGGCCCCCGAAGACCTGCAGGAGTACGGGGAAGGGTGAGCTTGGGGGCCAAGAAAGGACAGACCCAGAGGGAGACAGAAGGAAGGTAGAGCATAGTGGCGAGCATTTTTCTCACCAGAAATGACTCTCATCCCCTCAAGGCTCCAGCCTGGACCTCTCATCCCAGTCTGTCCAATCCCCTGCTTGTGTGTCTTTTTCTTTTTTTTAAAATATCTAATACAATTAAGTTTTTTTTTTTATTTAACAAATGCTTATATCAGATTTATATATCAGGCACTGCCCTAAATACTTTAAAAATACTATATATTTTGCCATGTATAATGCATACTCACGTTTTTATGTGCATTATACATGGGATTATTATACCTATTATTATACCTATGGTATGTAATCACCATACCCATGTATAATGTGCATCCTTATTTTTTCCCTCAAAAATTTGGGCAAGTGCACATTATACACAGAAAAATACGGTAACTCAGTTAATCCTCACCAACACCCCATGAACGAGGTACTGACCCATTTGTCAGATGGGGAAACTGAGGTTCATGGAAGTTAGGTTTTTCACCATCCCAAGAAAAGACATGTCTTTCATCTAGGTTATTGTCAGAAGGGTTGTTCTTTATTCTGAGGTTATATCCTTCCTAGTATTTTGATAGTAAAATATCCTTTCTTTTATGAAATGGTAGTGACCAGCAAAATAAATTAGCTCCACTATGTCATTTGCATTTTGTTTTTTGAAATTTGACCCCTGAAGTCCCCAAGTCCAGGTGGTGCCCTGATAACTGGAGTCCAGGCTTGAGTGGAGAGGGCCCAGGTCGGCCCGGTCTCCTCAGGAAGCCTAGGACACACATGGAAGCAGCGTCTCCCATAGTTACCCAGGAGACACTGCCATCTATGTCTACATGATCAGTGAACCTCATGTTTTTAAAGAATAGTGTGAGGACAGACATGGTGGTCAGTTATGCCCCTCAATGCCACAGTACCGCTTCTCCAAGCACGCTCAAACCCATGCTGGCATTTTCTGTACACTCTTCCCTCTCCTTGTCCCCCTTCATCATAGTGAAATCAGCTCAGCCTCACCCACCACCCCGACCCAGATAAGAGCTCTGCTTGGGGCTGGACATATGTGGACATGGCTTTGCGGTTAAAGGTTCCAAGGAACTGTGGTGTGTGGCACCATCTTCCTGAACATCTGAGGGCTGAGAAAGGGCCGTTGCCCCCGCTACCCAGCCCTATGTGTCCTGTGGTGTGAACTCACATGGTACATGCCGCCCACCTGCTGGGTAAGAAAGCCCACTGTCCTCAGAGGTGTTCTCAGTCACTTGGCTAAGAAGCATCAGGAGAGAATCACGTTTGGATGGAAAAATCAGTGCAGTGAAGAGTCTGGACTTATCAAAACCAGGTTGGGTCTAATGAGCCTCTCTACCCAGAAAACCTTCTTCCTGATGAATCTGAGGTGGTCTGAAGCCCCGTGACAGAGCCAGTAGGACACACTTTACACTTTATAGTAACTGGGGCAAAATCAATTAACTACAAATCCTTAGACAGCCATAGAAGATATGTGTGCAGATTACACTCATGGTGGCCTTTAGGATCAAACAGATCACTTAGCCTTCTCCATGATGGGCACTAACAAAGGGACATGAGTGTGCCAATGGCCAAGTAGGATGTGGATTTAGGAGGCAAGAGAGTGTGGCATGGAGAGGATGGAGCATCACGCCCGTCTGGCTGGTTGGCAGAGGCCAGGGTCCACGACACTCCTCTCCTAAGCATCCTCTGCCAGGTCACCTGGTGACGAAGTGAGGAGGACCAAAGTTAGGTCCCCATTCACATGCTCCAGAAAGCCCTGCACTTCTCTTTTGCTGCACTAAGCCCCAAACAGGTATATTCGATTACAATATGGCACTCTGCCCAACCAGGTGATGGAGGGGAGGAGGTCCCCTGTGCTCAGGGCTAACTCCTGAGTGTGGGTCACCTGTCCAGCCATGCACCAGGGCCTGAGTTCGTTAACTGGCCTCAGGGTCCTATTAGATGGGTGTGGCTAAACTAGAGCCATGTGTGAAGCAATCCCAAAGGAACAGCTTGGGATGCCCATGGAGGGGAGTGCACTCGTGATGGAACCCGCATGGGACCCAGTGGGCTGGAGGTGTTTGTATGTGGTTGATGGACATGGCATTGAGGAACAGTTAATGCCCATCAGGAAAATGATTCTCTTTTTCACTCTCCAGCTTTTCTAAGGCAAAGAGATGGACTCAGGGCGAAGCCAGGTGTCTGGAGCTCCCCTAGATGCATGGGCAGAGGGGATCTGGATAACAGTTTTTTATTTTTAACATAATGATATAGTTATTTGGGGGGAAAAGTAACTGTAAAATCATATTACAGGTAAAGTAATGCACAGGTGGTACCTGGAAATGGCAAAATCTGAGAAGGTGGCTCTTAGATCCTGGTCTGCAGACCATATAGCTTCCACCTGCATTCTTCTCTAGGTTGCTGGGTCAGGAATCAAAGGCCAGAAAAATAAGGTGAATTCAGAGTGAAGTCACTGCACTGAGCATTTGTCATGAAGTCCTGAGTGTGCACTTGCTGGATGTGGCCATAACCAGTGTCGTGCTCCAGGCATTCAGTGGCAGAGGGAAGCTCCAAAGTTAATCCAGACCTCCTGGTGTGTGTTTTTACTTGATGAAGACTATGTTCCAGCTCCCTTGAAAATGTCTCACTCGCTCTCTCTTCCTCCCTCCCTCCTTTCTCCTCACCCCCAGCCTCCTTCTCAGATTCCTAGATTCTATGGTAAGAACCCACCTGCCTCTGGGTGTAGCCCACCCTGCAAAGGTCCTTTAGAAAATTATACTGACTTCCCTTTGTTTTCATGGTTTATCTATCATAGTAGGATTCACAGAGATGGGGGGGGGGATTCTTTTTAAAAACAGCTTTAATGAGATACAATTTGCATGCCATATAATTCACCCGTGTAAAGTGTACAACTCGAGTGTTTTTAGTATATTCACAGAGCTATGCACACATCATCCCCTTTTTAGAATGTTTTCATCACCTCAGAAGAAACCCTGTGCCCTTCAGCTATTGCTCCCCTCCATCCCTCCCATCCCTACTTGACAACTCACCAACTTCCTGTCTCTATAGATTATGTCCCTGTTCACCACTCCCACATGAGTAGCATCACATAATATGTGGGCCTTGGTGACTGGCCTTTTTCCTTTATCATAATGTCTTTTGAGGTGAGAAATCTTCCCTCAAGGGGACTTTTACAAAATACCTCCACCATCACAACACACCAGCAGCCCATTCTGGCCCCCACCATTTGGGGGACACCAAGTGACTGCGTTTCATCTCTCTGGGGCCTCTACGCTGGAAAGAACTGGAGAATCACTGGTTCCCAGGGAAGTCCTTGTAGGACAGATGCCACCAGGTCCCACCTATCCCAGAAACATATTTTAGGTTATACATCAAGAGAAGGCAATGTCAGCACAGATGAAGTGATTACAACCCCAGGGCTTTGCTCGCTGGAGACAGGCAGTGGGCCTGCCCTCTCCCCTCATGGCCCTGCCCAGGAGGTGCCCAGGGGAGAAAGGCAGGGCGGCTGCTTCCGCAGGGAGCCACAGGGCCCACCTGGGAGGGGTGCTGAGGGGGAAGAGCAGCCCTGGGGACAGGAGGCCAAGCTGAGGAGAGACCTTATTCCCAACTAGATGTATGCAAGCAGAGCCCTGGGCACAGACACTGCTCTTGGAGAATCCCAGGGCAGGTGCATGTTAGGAGCCATAACAGCTTTGAGGGCTCTGCTCCCCGGGGCACATGTGAGGTCCCACAGCACCCACATCACACAGCATTCGCACATGAACCCTGGAACAGGCACCACCGCATCTGATGGTGGAGGCTTTAGCAAGCAATTCAGCTGCACGGCTTGTTTCCTGGTCAATAGCTGACCATCTGCAGCTGTCTCCCCACATTGCAAGCTGGCGGAAACTATGGATGTGAGTGTGAAGCTTCTGGCACCGTGCACAGAACCACCCAACAAGCAGGGTAAGACTTGCTCACCCAAGAGGCCCACAGCCCAGTGGAGACAGACACAGAGGTTACTAGTTACTCTGCAGGATCATAATCAGCTCTGAGAGGGCTGGGGCAGAGCCCTAATCAAATCTTGAAGGGAGAGGTGGACTTTGTTGGTTAACTGGGTCAAAGGGTCAAGAAGTAGCTTTCCAGGGGTGAGGGTGAGGTGGGACGAGGACAGGCCAGCCCAGGGGACACTGAAGCAGCAGTGAGAGGGTCCAAGGCTGGGAAGCTGTGCACAAAGTGAGGGGCAAGGGGTGGCAGGGCATGGAGCTCAAGGGAGGGCAGGCCTCGAGACCAAACTGACCAGCTAGTGGGAAGGCCCGCACAGTGCAGAGCTGGGATTCTGTGTGAATCATGGTGCCAAGCCAGGCCTGCCTCACTCCACCCACTAAGTGTGCAGAGAGCAAACAGAGAGCAAGGGCTGCACCCACACCCAGCTGATAAGGCATCCCGGGCAGGGAGCAATCATTCTGTCCCAGCTGCAGGACCCCGCTGGCCAAATATTTGTCAACAGCAAGGGGGTAGGTGAGGGTTCAAGCATTTCCCTTTGTAAAGAACACTCTAGGCGGTCCCAGCTTCCAGTAAGCAAATGCGCAGAGACCATCACCACCCCTGCCTGCACCCGGGGCACCATGCCCCATGACAGAGATTGTACAGCTGCTAGGGTGGTCTCGGCAAAAGGCTCTAAGTCCCCTGGGCTGAGCTCAAATCCCCAAGCTGGAAAGGGGTCATGGGACCTGGGCTAACACTGCATAGTTCTCAGCTCTCATTCTGCATTAGAATCACTTGAGACCCCTTGAAAAATCCACCAAGGCCCAGCATCTGACTCTACAGAAGAGAAGCAATTATAGGACAAGAAGCAGACATCCAGGCTCGTCAGAGGCTTGGAACATGTTCCCATAGCAGCCCTTGGAGGACATTCTGGTAGCTCCTGTCACACAGAAGAA